GTCTTTGTCTCTGTTCGGCAGCGAAACATCCCCGTCCGCGGCCCCGATGTAGCGGGCGGGCGTTACGGAAGTCCATGTCAATTCTCGGGCTTGGGTACCTCATTCAGGCCGCTACTCGACGGCCCCAGCACAGGTATCTCTTGCATGATGTGTACCCGCACTGGGCAGGCGGAGGTTCACTGCCCTGGATTCTTCCATGCCGTGTCCCTTAATTCTTTGTTTAGAGTTGTCGCAGCGACTGCATCTTCCGGCTATCAATACCGGCTTCCAGTACCAATCTCAGTCTTACTGACAGTCTTACATGGTAGCAACTGTAATCCTCTCCTCAATGGCGCAACAAGCCCATTACTTTCACCATAACTCAGATCGAAACATGCTCAACTGTAAGGTAAGCACTGCCAGCACACGCATCGAGTCGCAATCTCGCACAGGGTTGGCGTGGGCGATTCATAATCGCAGGCTGGTTTTCGAGGTCCGTAAGCAGCCTGCAAATGTGTGTTTGATTAGAAACCCGGTGCCATTAGCGTTGACTCTTCAGCCTACCACAGTCGTTAATCTGACCATGTCCGTCTAGCTCCGCTAGAACCACAACAAATCCGAGGATGGATTTACAAGCCTGCTCTTCAGGAACCTTACATAAGGCAGATGCATTTCTCAGCATTGAGCGAACCTTATTCGTTCTTTTGCGCCCTATCGGTGTCGCGATCATCTCTGACTCCGATACGGCGATGACTCTTGCTGCAGAATCGATTTCCTAGATGGGATAGGCAGAGATCGAGGTGTGACGCTGATTTACAAACGCTGCATGCTGGCTCAGCAACAACATACTGATACGGACGGGAATTTGTATTATCTCCATGCATCCATCAAGACCAAATCCAAGACAACCTCTTGCATCCCGTGCCTCCATCCAAAGTTGGGTTCCCGTCACGATGATAGGGAGGATGACCTCCATATTTTCCAATCCCACTACAGTGATTGCCCACTAGGCCCAGCCCAGTTCAATTGGATGCTTATGAATCGACGACTCGCCAAACCCAAATTCGTAACGACTGTTTGAGTATGCTCCACGTCAATGTTGGCGAGTTTCACCTAGGGGCTGATTGATCAGTCCAGATTGCGTATTCCGCTTCGCATCGTGTACCCTGAGGCATAACTCCGCCTCATGTGCTTGTCGTCAGCAGCCAAGGGATTATAGGCCATACTACGAAAGGGGGAGCTTGTTCCAGACAGCAAACGTAAGCGAAAGCGAGAGAGTATACCATGGTAGGGTATCGTCCAGTAATAACGCACGATGCTCACTGTGCCCGAGCCTGGCGCAGTCCGCGGGGAGTATGTACGTCCTTGTCCACGTATCGCTGTAATCAATCGTAGGGCTGAGCTCAGTCGGCCGCCATCAAATCCATGAATGGATGTCGGCTTTGTTGTTAAAGACCGAATTACGGTATACGAGCCAATGATCGCCAGCAAACATGTCAATCACCACCGTTATGTTCAACGATAACGAGCAAGAAGTAATACAAATCTCTATACAACTTATGCCTCATGGTCACTTGATAAGCTTTTACCAGGCAACTCTCAAGCTGTTCTCGCTTTCGTCGTTTGAAAATCTAAGTCAGTACCTACATATTGTATTGCTAGCATGTTTGTGTAATATGATTGCCTACTTTAAAAATTAGGCAACTCTTTTCTCCCAGGTATTTCTCCGCCAAACAGTATCATATTCCATATTAGCTCTTATCCTTGCAGTCCGTATGCTCATGGGAAGTAAGCAAGTTTCTTACATCTAATCCGAATATCCGTAAAGACAGTCCCTTTTTAGCTTTAATTCCCTCTTTTCTCGTTCCAACACTGTCAACTCGGCTACACGGCTAGCCTTAGACGGCCTCTTAATCGGTCCAAGATGATGCCGACTTACAAGAAGCCATGTTATTGCCGGACTAGGCCGGTCTATCCTGAATCCCGAGGTCGCCGACCACTAACCGTCCGTGACTGTCCGCTGGGCGGTCTAGCGACGGGATTGACAAGAGTCACAGATTTTCCAAACTCCGCTTTTCTGGAAATATTTTTCGTTCTTTTTCGCTTCCATCACCGAAAGAGGCTCCACGATGGGTCGTACGGTGCCTCGCTAATCAACATCAGCCAGCTCGGCGGTACTCACATCGCGGATTTAAAGAATGGGTCTCTGTTGGTGTCGGACAACTCCTTGGGATGTTCATTGGATGCAGATTTCTTCGATTCATGTTCCACTGGAAGTTCCACCCATGGATGTGATGCAGGTTGGGATAAGAGCTCAATACGTCCGTCAACTCGGCTTCGACCGATGCTCGAAGCATTTTCTTCTGCATGGATCCTGGTTCGGATGACTTGATATCATTTGACTCATCAAGCCTCAGAACAGATGCATCGTAACTCGTACTCAAAGGGGTTTAACACTGACTAAATTCCGCGTATTCCCATGCCGATGTGACACATCGCAACAGCTGCTGCAAATAACACAAGGCGCAGACTGTGCTTCACGCAGAGGACCATAATTGGCGAGAACTTATCGGTCGTGTGCGGACCATTGACCGCTGGTCTGGTTAAGGTTGTCCACAACACAGTCAGCATCACAGCTTCGAAGGGCGGAGATTGGTGAGAGTCACGACCTCACGCTCAAAGAAGCCCGCCAGCCAGCGCCCGTCTGAGGCTCAGGCTTTAGGTCCAGGGACATATGCGTTAGCGTGGAAGCTTTCGAGGCCCATGCCGAATTTGGCTCATTAAGCGGATGGTCCCTAATCTGCTTTGTCAGTCAATTCCCCCGTCTTCTTCTCGGCCGAGGTTGATCAGGGTGTGTGCGTATCAGCCCCGAAAACCCTGCGAGACTGATTCCTAATCCGAGTATTGATAATATTATTGCTGAGTGAGAAGCTTCTACAAACTACGATGCATCCGTTTATTTCCCCTCCCTTGGTAGATCTAAGATTGTGAACCTACTGCGTATTTCAACTTATCTTGAAAACATGCTCGTGCGAGGGTATCTGCCGCTGAGTAAGGTTGGTAGGTAAGTTTTCTGTCCTTGTGACTGACTTTCTGGCGGACAATTTTCGCTTTCGGGTGCACGAAACATGCCGAGCCCACTTGCACACCCAGACAAGCACCTACGTATCAATCCGATCAGATCAGGGGGGGATACTCACGACAGTCTTTGCGCAGCTCACGGATTTCATAGTAGCCGATCTACCGAGAACGTGGGGAAGCAGACCAGGAACGCGGTAGGCATGATTTCCAGTTCTCAATTCTTATTAAGAGCAGCAAAACCCTGGCGCTGGTGTTTACATCCTAGCCCCGAAGGATCCGTCGTCCACTGTCGCAGTTTTAGATAAACCCGTAAATTCCGATTTGCTTGACGATGCTATTCTATGTATTGATTTATGAGGTCTCATGACTTTATTCCCAAGACGATATTGTTGAAGTATATCGATGATTCCAAACTCGGTTCCAGTGTTTGCATTGAAGTCGATGACGTTAACACTCGAATACAGTTGAGCATGTCATTGACGCGCCAAGGTTGATAATCTACAAAGCCAGGCGTCGTCAAGCTCAGGAAAAACGCCACGAGTTACATCGTCAGCGACAAATGTGATAGCAATACCACACGATCTGGCGCTGTCGTATCCCTTACCCGGAAGAGACTAACTACCCATCGATCACACAATTCGCCTGACAGCGAAGCAATCGGGAAGGCAGTTCGAGGACTTTGCCATCTGGCTTGGCTCAGGTTGTCTCAACCTGCGCCACTCTAGGGTATGCATTGATCGACGAAATTTCCTGATCATCAAGTCCAGTCGAGTTACCACTGAACTCAAGATCGGATCGATAACAATGACGCAGGAGAGTAGCTCGATGTCAATTAGCATTTCTGTAAGGTTATTCAGCGAGTCCGACCTGATATGCAAAGCTTGTGAGCAGAGTCTCGGATAGATACGTTCGCGGTTGAGGATAAAACGGCAATGTCGGGCAATTATCAGCAAACCGGCGCGATATCGGCGTATATTGCCATTTCCAGTCCGGTACGCTGGGATGTTGCGATGACGGCACTCACGACAGAGTTACATACACCTGGTTTGACCTAGGCGAGAAGCAGCTGATTCTACTCTGGTTTGCTGAGAATCATCACAAGCTCAGCATAGATAGTTGTGAATGGCATTCATCATCCTCTCGCAACGGGCGCGGATGATTAACAACAGAAGCTTACAGATTCATTCCGGTAATTCGTTCTTAAGTTTCCTTTTGAATGGGCCATATTCGTCCATTGGCTTTGGGAACCACAACGTATAATAACATCAAATACACGACTTCATATGTACCAATTGAGCATTGATGATTGAACAGGCGCCCACGTCAGTGCGAGACACGATTCTGTGTGTACAAAGGTCAGGCATCTACTCAAGACTTTGGTATAAGGCAGTCCTGTTAGACATGCGCCTATATAAACTGCGTATTGTATGCCCTCAAGACAACTGAATGATTGGCACAGCACAACCCTGTGTAATGTTACCACTGATGTTCCAGGTAACAATCAATGAAGAGTTCGTATTGGCAAGAATGTTGTCGAAAGGATAAGTTATCTTTTATGAGCATATAAATAGCACTGAAACCCGCCACGTCTGGAAGTCGAGAACTTCATCCTATTATTTCTTCAAACTATGTTAAAGACAAATACAGCTAATAAAACTTCTAAATTAAAAAGCATAAGTAAACACCCTAGAACCAAGATATATTTATATCTTTTTACTAATTTAGTATACTTGATAACTACTAACTAGAAGCAAAGGGAATAATATTTAATAAAGTAAGTAAATAATAATGGTATATAAAATAATATTTAAATAGTTTAAACTTTAGAAGTGTATTAGAATTACAGAATAGCCCATCAATAGGAAGGAAGTTGGTGTTCACTTTCAGGGTCAACTGTCCGAGGAGCCTTATATACTAGAAATTCCCACCGTCGGCCGTGAGCCCCCATGGTGTAGTGGTTTATCACGCAGCTCTTATATGTCCAAGACTCTATGGAGGTATGCTGAGGTCGCGAGTTCAATCCTCGCTGGGGGCACCAATTTAATTTTTTTGCACTTTTTTGCACTTTTTTGCTTATGTCAATTGCGCACCAAAGAACTTGATCGTAAATCCTATGCAAAGAGTTGACATGGGATACCTGGTTGTGCTTTTGGCATGGCTTTAAGCAAGTGCGGGTCGGTGGAGCTCTGCGTGTTACGCAAATGTCTACATGCGATGGATCATTAGCTTCTTGAAATCAATATTAAAAATACGCTTTTGTCTATCCATTTGATCTAGAGATTCCAATGGTTTATTCCACTCGCAACTTTTGCTTTGTGCGCTTTCGCTTGCCACCGACTTCCCTCCCTTCCTCTACCTCCAATAAAGCCTCGCGTTTCTTCTCTGACACAATCTTGAGGGCATCGCGAACCACGCGAGTCTCGAGATTGACGCCCTCTTCCTCCCAAGATTCCATATCACGGCCGACACGCTTCTCGATTGTAAGGGCCAGTTCCACGTCACGCTGACCCACAAAGCTGACCGCCTCACCTTTGCGACCCGCACGGGCTGTACGACCGACTCGATGGATGTAGTCATCAGGGTCGCGTGGGAGATCGTAGTTGATAACAAGGCTGACTTCAGGAATATCCAAACCACGAGCGGCAACATCGGTTGCTACAAGGATACGGGCCGCTGAAGCGCGGAAACGAGCCAAGTTGTCGATTCGCTGTCTTTGGGGAAGTTTAGAGTGTAGAGAAGTGACTCGATGATCAAGCATTCGAAGTAGATGGTGAAGGTAGTCGGCGGTCGAGGTTCGGTTGCAGAATAGGATGACAGTTTTGTCGACATTGGCTTCGGTGAGCAAAAAGACGTGGAGGTAGTGCTCCTTATGAGTGACGGGCGTCTTGATATACATCTGTTTCAGCGTCGTAGGAATAGCCAATGTCTGCGTGTCAACCTCACACACGAATACTGGTTGCTTTCCAGGCTTGATTGGCATGTCCTTGAGAGCTCGAACTTCTGGAGTAATAGTAGCAGTAAACAGAAGCGTCTGTCTCTCGGTAGCTGGGGGAAGAACAGAGAGGCATTCTTCCACGTCAGGAAGCATACTGCCAGGCCCATTGGCGTTGAGAAGGCGATCAGCTTCATCAAGAACCACGTATCGAACTCTCCTCAATCCACAAATGGTGTCCTCTCCGGAAGTTCGAATATGATCTGCGAGACGACCAGGTGTTGCAATTATCACATGTGGCCGCTTTCCGATCTCAATGGCCTGTGTGCGCATATCTGAGCCTCCTGTCACCAAGATCGCCTTGAGGCTCTGAGGAGAAGAGATGGCCTTGAACTGCTCAAAAATCTGCAGCGCTAGTTCTCTTGTTGGTGTTAAGACGATAGCAAAGATGGCTGTAGGATCCTCTGACCATTTCTGCAGGATAGGCACAGCGAACGCTACTGTTTTACCGGAACCTGTTCGACTACCACCGATACAATCCCTGCCTTTCAAGATCTCGGGAATACAGCCCTTTTGAATACCCGTCGGACGTTTAATAGCCATATTTGCTAGTGACTGTACCAGCCATGGTCGCACGTTGAGGGAAGAAAAGGTGGTATTTGGGTCGGTAGGAGCCTGAATCGAGTTCTTGGGTGCGATCAAAGGTTTAGTCTGAGCCTCCTTCTGGTCGACTTGAGCGGCTCGCTTGATTCGAGATGGGACCTTGATTGTGGAAAGAACTCTCTTCAGCTCATTGTCTTCCTCATCCTCGTCTTTGACCTCGTCACCTCCAGTCTGGGGCACTTCTGCTGTCCTCCGGCGTTTTCGAGATGTGGCGCTGTCAAGGTAGTCAGACTCGTCAGAGGATGAAGCGGCACCAGACAAGATTTCTTCGTTTGACGCGGTAGTCGCATGTTCGGGATCGGCAGGCGGCACCATGATTCGGGTTTTAGAATTGCAGGAGTCAAGTTGATCTTTTCAAAGACCAACCTCCCAAGCTAAGGTAGGTATGCAAAGTTGGATCTGACTGAACTGGAAATTTTTGGCGGTGACAGGCGTCGCAAAATCGTGGGATGGGACCCTTGATCCACTTTCGGCGCCACATGGAGACACCTAAACGCGCGCTTACAGCAATGGGGCATGTCACTAAAAAAGCGCTATCAAGGGCTAACGATCCCTACGACGTTCACCTATAGCGAATAGACTGATGACTGATTTCATTGTTTTTATCTTGGATTATCTAGTTATATACCAATCATGGCCAGTCTTACAATGCCGATAATGATAGAAAACGTGTTTGAAGCCGACACTCGGGCGCCTGTTTTGCCTCGTCAACGTGTAAGATCGCCTGTCATATGCGACAGGGTTCCTTTAACGAATGAGGAGATATGTCTGGGATGTGTTCAGCTGCGACGTAGCTAGGTGATGTGACAGTCATTGTGTTCCGCCATCTGATTGGGTTTGTAGGTAAGTATTTTGTTTTGATTGTCAATCGATTTCACGAACACGTCTGGGGTCCTGGTATTATTCCAAATGTCTAGCTCAGGGGCTCCCTAGGGTGGCATTTTGACTTGTCACCTAAGAATCAGTATGTTTTGTCTTACGACAACGACATTGCATATTGCCCTCGAAAGCTTTACGAATTGGGTGCTGACCGAGGGGTTGAAGGATCGCCTCGTTCCTAGCTTTGGATTGCGGTTGGACCACGTTGATATGGGACAAGCGCTTCCGATGCAACTGACCCATGATTGCGAATTAATAGCTCCACTAGGTTTGACGGCATGGAGTACCGTAGCCTGGCCTTGAAGTTCGAAACGAGGATGTGGAGGTTAACTCGGCTCATCGGAATATGGATGAGGCCAAGTCAAACTGCACTACTGTTGGTACACCGACGGTTGGGGGCCATAGCAAAAAAACCTGAAATACTACATAGTGTGACGACGAGGATGACGATGTGTGTGCAACCCAGCTACAAACCTGACCTTGAGCTTATGGCCTTATATGCCCGGATCCATTGTCTCTCAAAAGCCCATGTCCAATATTGATATTCATTATTTCACGATAGGTGCATTAAAAAAAAACCCGGCATGATAAACCGCAGATGAAAGAATAAAGAGCCGAATGACACCAACAAGAGCTTGTAGATTCATCCCACCATTCATCCCACTGGCTGAACTGATGACAACCCTTGGTTTTTATATCGGGCTGGCTTGGCTTGCTAGACTTCAAACCAGTCGCATTGGATGCGTGGAATCACAGTGTAAACACACTCACATCTAGGTAGGGAGGTAGTCGGGCAACTGGCCATCCCTATCCCAATATACCTTCCTACCTGCAACTTAACTTAACTTGGTCTATGTTGTGGTTGTAGCCCGTAAGAAGTAATCAAGCGCGTGTTGTATTGAGCAAGTTCCTAAACCACTTCAGATGAGCTTGGCGAGAATCTGAGACATACCTCAAAACCACCAATACCTGGAAAACCCGCCTTCCAGGGCTGGGTCCAGCTTCCCGTCCCTCCCCCCTCAAGTCTACCTTAGGTACCTAGGTAGGTAGCGCTCAATGCTTACAGGGAAGCTCAATCACTCAACGCCCCCGCGCCGCAAACAAAGAGCTCCCCGCCCGTACCTCAGGTACAACACTACCCCTAGGGGCCCTGTGCGTCTTCCACTGAGCTCTAGGGGTCACAGATGCCCAAGCGCCCCGCCCTTCCTGGTCTCAGTGGCAGTCACAGTCACAAGCCCGCCCACCCAGACCCGATCCAATCAATGGATCTATGGTGGACGCCATTCCCAGCTTACACGTCCTCTTTTCTCTAGTTCTCGCCCTCCCATATGATCTCACGTCCTTTCTCATCCTTTCCTCCTGCCGTTTCGGATTCACTCGACGACTTGTCGTTCGTTGCCACGCCTTTTTTTTTGTCAGCTTAGGTCCTGTTTTGCGACGTTTCTTGGGCATAACAACATTCAGTATATTTACGAAGTCTACCTACCTACCTACCTACCTACCTATACATCTAAACGCGGCCAACCGTACTCTCCCCGCTCTTTTGCGTGGGCTGTTGTTACTCCTGCGGCTGCCTCACTTGGTTCTTTGACGACGACATTTCGTACCTTATTTTACTCTCAACTAAGTAACTGGCTTAACCGATTCCCAACACTCGCTATTGCTGCTAGTATCAAACACTCGACGTTGAATTAGTTGCATCCGTATATCCGTGTTCATACTTCCGACGACGCTGGCCGCTCGACGACGCTTACTCCTCACATCCGACTATCTCGATCTTCTCTAGTTGATACCATCTTCCCTGGGAGAGACTTCTTTTCAGAAAAAAAAAAAAGGAATCACTTCCCATCTGATCCCCAACAAGACCTCATTATTGCGTATACGCTGTTGGAACCTGTGTCACCAGCGCAACAGCGAATATGGCTGACCAACAGCCTCAGAGTTCTGATTCAACTCCACTACCCGTACGCTCTCCTGATTGCTCTTCCCTGTCTCGAATGTTTAACTCACGAATTATAGCAACAGCCTGCTGCTCCCACTCCAATTTCTCTACCAACACATAACTCGGGCCCCTCTCCTGTGCCTCTCCTCCGACCCGCCATTCCTGGCGCCAGAAGTGGTGGAGCTCGTACACCCAGGCTTGGCCTCGCTATCCCACCATCACCTAATGCCAAAGCTTTAGGCAATCAAGGAGCAGCCGCGGCTGCCCCTTCAAGGCCTCCTCTGCCGACATTACACCTAGCAACCCCTATGGGTAGTCAAGTCACTCCCCATGAACAATTACCACGATCCCAATGTGCAACCCAAGCATCGGCAGGTGGTGGTAGTGAAAGTAGCGCGGCTCACTCAAGGTCTGGCAGTTTCGGCCCTCTAGATGGACGGGCAAGCAATCCCACCTCTGCAGGATCTCAATATTCCGCTTTGTCCTTTGCTTCGCAGTATGGTATAGGTGTATCAAGACCTCAAGGTACTCCGGATCCGGTATCTGCTGTGGGATCTATGTACTCCGAGAGAAGCGAGGGTGGGGTATCCATGGAGCGTGATGGAAGTCTTCAAGGTTT